CCCTCGCTCTTCCCTCCTCTCCTCCTCTCCTTCTCTCCTCCATGTTCTCAATCATCATTTAAAGGGAATCCGTTCATTGAATTTCTCTCTATTGATTATAGATATTCTTATCAATGCCGCTAAGAGGATAAAACACCAAAACTACTTTTATTTCATTTTTATTTCCTCTTGTCCGGGTTGGGTGGAGTGATTGGAGCTGAACTGATTTCTCAGCAAAATCACCCATTTTACCGTCACCAAAAGGTCGGCAAATGAGCCCCAAATTTTGATTCAGCTTCAGAAGTCATCAGAAAATGAACCATGTCTCATTGGTCCCAAGCTCTACTCCATGGAAGAGAGTATGCCTCGTTGGGTCCCAAAGCCCTACTCCATAGAGGATAGCATATCTCATTGGGTCCAAGGCCCTACTCCATAGAAGACAATATGTCTCGTTGGGTCCCAAGCCCTACTCCATGGAAAACAGTATGTCTCATTGGGTCCCAAGCTCTACTCCATTGAAGATAGCATATCTCATTTGGTCCAAGGCCCTACTCCATAGAAGACAGTATGTCTCGTTGGGTCCCTGGCCCTACTCCATAGAAGACAATATGTCTTGTTGGGTGCCTGGCCCTACTCCATAGAAGACAACATGTCTTGTTGGGTCCCAAGCCCTACTCCATAGAAGACAATATGTTTTGTTGGGTCCCAAGCCCTACTCCATAGAAGACAATATGTCTTGTTGGGTCCCTGGCCCTACTCCATAGAAGACAGTGTGTCTGGTTGGGTCCCTGGCCCTACTCCATGGAAGACAGTATGTCTCATTCCCTGGCCCTACTCCATAAAGGACAGTATGTCTCGTTGGGTCCCAAGCCCTACTCCATGGAAGACAGTATGTCTCGTTGGGACCTTGGCCCTACCCCATGGAAGACGGTATGACTCATTGGGTCCCTGTCCCTACTCTATAGAAGACAGTATGTCTTGTTGGGTCCCAAGCCCTAATCCATATGAGACAGTATGTCTTGTTGGGTCCCAAGCACTACTCCATAGAAGACAGTATGTCTCATTTGGTCCAAAGACCTACTCTATAGAGGACAGTATCTCTCGTTGGGTCCCATCTCTGAACTGATTTCTCAGCAAAATCCCTCATTTTACCTTCACCAAAAGGTCGGCAAATAAGCCCCAAATTTGGACTCCGCTTGAGAAGTCATCAGAAAATGATCCAGGTCTCCTTGGGTCCCAAGCTCTACTCCACAGAAGACCGTATGTCTCATTGGATCCCTGGCCCTATGAGCCATTATGTCTCATTGGATCCTAAGCCCTACTCCATAGAAGACAATATGTCTTGTTGGGTCCAAAGCCCTACTCCGTATAGAAGACAATATGTCTAGTTGGGTCCCAAGCACTGCTCCATAGAGGACTGTATGTCCCATTGGGTCCCATTCTCTACTCCATGGAAGACAGTATGTCTCATTGGGTCCCAAGTCCTACTCCATGGAAGACCGTATGGCTCATTGGGTCCCAAGTACTACTCCATGGAAGAAAGTTTGTCTCATTGGGTGGCAAGCCCTACTCCATAGAACACAGTATGCGTCAGGGACCAGAGCACCTCCGGATGGCACTGTGGAGCTGGAACCTGATCTGCAGTTCCAGTGCTCACCTGCAGGTGTCTCCAGCAATTAATCACCACCTGGTGCTTATCTGGGAGGGTATTTAACCTCTCCCTGCAGTGAGGCCTCTGCCTCAGTATTGTTGCCATATTCTGTTACCAGTATCCTGTTTCTGCCTTGGACCCTCTTCTTGTTGCCCTGCTCCCCAGGTTATGACCAGCCCTGTTATGGTCTGCGGGTGATTTACCGTTTGTATATAGTGTGGCTCTTATCTGTTTCTTGCGGGTGGTGGTGGGATTGCCTGTGTTTATGTGGTTTGATATTTCTAATAAACGATCATTCCCAAAGATTGTTGTGGTATCTGCAGTGTGGTCACATATTTGGTTCACCTGTATAGGTACCTGCACATGGTGTTGGGACACCCTCCTCCATAGGAGACAGTATATCTTGTTAGGTCCCAATCGCTACTCCATAGAGGGCAGTATGTCTCATTGGGTCCCATCTCTATTCCACAGAAGACAGTATGTCTCGTTGGGTCCCAAGCCCTACTCCATGGAAGACAGTATATCTCGTTTGGTCCCTGGCCCTTCTCCATAGAGTACAGTATGTCTCATTGGGTCCCAATCTCTACTCCATAGAGGACAAAAAGTCTTATTGGATCCCTGGCCATACCCTATAGAAGACAGTATGTCTCTGAGTCCCAAGTAAGGCTCATTGGTTTTCATGTCCTACTCTATAGAAGCCAGTATGTCTCGTTAGGTCCCAATCTCCACTCCATAGAAGATAATATGTCTCGTTTGGTCCCTGGCCCTTCTCTGTAGAGCACAGTACGTCTCATTGGGTACACATATCTATTCCATGGAAGACAGTATGTCTCATTGGGTCCCAAGCCCCTACTCCGTGGAAGACAGTATATCTCGTTGGTTTCCAAGCACTAGGACCATACTCCCCAAACAAGGAAGGGCAATGGGCATTTCCACCCAATCAGCTGTGGGCAGGGCATTGCCCATTCTGAAGCTGCATGTGAAAAAAAAGTGGCGGGATGCTTGAGGCTGACATCATCATACCTTATATGGTCACATAGTCATATTAGGTATACCAAATTAGGGCTGCAGCTAACGATTATTTTCATAATCGATTAGTTGGGCGATTATTAAGTTCGATTAATTGGGCACGGCGGCCGCAGCGGGAGCAGCGTGTGACGTGTGGCTCAGGCCGCATGTGGAGCCCGGAACAGCCCCGAACAGGCAAATCAATCGATAGCCGACGAATCGACGATCGAAAACGTTGCCAACGTTTTCAATCGTCGATTTTAATCGACTAAATCGATTAACTGTTGCAGCTCTATACCAAATGTAGGCATGTAGCCACATGAGGTCAATGACATCATTGGATTCCACCCCTTTGCTTGTGTGAAGTTGTGGGTGCCAGCAGCTGATTGGACAGCATGAAAGGAGCTTCCTTTGTGGCATCCAATCCTAGGCAGCCGTTCCTGGAACAGGTGTCCCCAATGGAAGATCTCCTCCATTCAGCCGCCATGCTGATTGCGATACTCTATAACCTCCATGACTGAAAAGTACAATGGTGGTTCTCACATTCCGTCCTGGGCTGTCCAACATCATCTAGCCCTGTCCTTGTCCTCCCCAGCCCATCTGTTCCTGGCTCAGCCTTTCATCTCTGATTGGACCATGGTACTGACCCTGTATTTTTTTTTTTCCGGGGTGTGTGTTTTTACAGGCATCCATCTGACCAATGACTGCACTTCTGATCTTTGGGTTCTGCCTCCTTCTGCAAACCGATAAACAGGTAACATTTTCCCTAAATTAATACATTGTAATAAGTTTAAGCAACACTGCCGCTCCGTGTAGACAGTGAGAGGGGAGAGCTGTGCTAGATTCCCTGTATTGGAGCTGACCGGGTCAATAAAGAGCCCTCATAATGGGCACAGCGGGTGTACAGACCCGGGAACTCAGCACAGGGATGGTGGGAGCTCCTCATAATGGGCACAGCAGGTGTACAGACCCAGGAACTCAGCACAGGGATGGTGGGAGCTCCTCATAATGGGCACAGCAGGTGTACAGACCCAGGAACTCAGCACAGGGATGGTGGGAGCTCCTCATAATGGGCACAGCAGGTGTACAGACCCAGGAACTCAGCACAGGGATGGTGGGAGCTCCTCATAATGGGCACAGCAGGTGTACAGACCCAGGAACTCAGCACAGGGATGGTGGGAGCTCCTCATAATGGGCACAGCAGGTGTACAGACCCAGGAACTCAGCACAGGGATGGTGGGAGCTCCTCATAATGGGCACAGCAGGTGTACAGACCCAGGAACTCAGCACAGGGATGGTGGGAGCTCCTCATAATGGGCACAGCAGGTGTACAGACCCAGGAACTCAGCACAGGGATGGTGGGAGCTCCTCATAATGGGCACAGCAGGTGTACAGACCCAGGAACTCAGCACAGGGATGGTGGGAGCTCCTCATAATGGGCACAGCAGGTGTACAGACCCAGGAACTCAGCACAGGGATGGTGGGAGCTCCTCATAATGGGCACAGCAGGTGTACAGACCCAGGAACTCAGCACAGGGATGGTGGGAGCTCCTCATAATGGGCACAGCAGGTGTACAGACCCAGGAACTCAGCACAGGGATGGTGGGAGCTCCTCATAATGGGCACAGCAGGTGTACAGACCCAGGAACTCAGCACAGGGATGGTGGGAGCTCCTCATAATGGGCACAGCAGGTGTACAGACCCAGGAACTCAGCACAGGGATGGTGGGAGCTCCTCATAATGGGCACAGCAGGTGTACAGACCCAGGAACTCAGCACAGGGATGGTGGGAGCTCCTCATAATGGGCACAGCAGGTGTACAGACCCAGGAACTCAGCACAGGGATGGTGGGAGCTCCTCATAATGGGCACAGCAGGTGTACAGACCCAGGAACTCAGCACAGGGATGGTGGGAGCTCCTCATAATGGGCACAGCAGGTGTACAGACCCAGGAACTCAGCACAGGGATGGTGGGAGCTCCTCATAATGGGCACAGCAGGTGTACAGACCCAGGAACTCAGCACAGGGATGGTGGGAGCTCCTCATAATGGGCACAGCAGGTGTACAGACCCAGGAACTCAGCACAGGGATGGTGGGAGCTCCTCATAATGGGCACAGCAGGTGTACAGACCCAGGAACTCAGCACAGGGATGGTGGGAGCTCCTCATAATGGGCACAGCAGGTGTACAGACCCAGGAACTCAGCACAGGGATGGTGGGAGCTCCTCATAATGGGCACAGCAGGTGTACAGACCCAGGAACTCAGCACAGGGATGGTGGGAGCTCCTCATAATGGGCACAGCAGGTGTACAGACCCAGGAACTCAGCACAGGGATGGTGGGAGCTCCTCATAATGGGCACAGCAGGTGTACAGACCCAGGAACTCAGCACAGGGATGGTGGGAGCTCCTCATAATGGGCACAGCAGGTGTACAGACCCAGGAACTCAGCACAGGGATGGTGGGAGCTCCTCATAATGGGCACAGCAGGTGTACAGACCCAGGAACTCAGCACAGGGATGGTGGGAGCTCCTCATAATGGGCACAGCAGGTGTACAGACCCAGGAACTCAGCACAGGGATGGTGGGAGCTCCTCATAATGGGCACAGCAGGTGTACAGACCCAGGAACTCAGCACAGGGATGGTGGGAGCTCCTCATAATGGGCACAGCAGGTGTACAGACCCAGGAACTCAGCACAGGGATGGTGGGAGCTCCTCATAATGGGCACAGCAGGTGTACAGACCCAGGAACTCAGCACAGGGATGGTGGGAGCTCCTCATAATGGGCACAGCGGGTGTACAGACCCGGGAACTCGGCATTACCCACTACTGTTACAGTGCATTCAAACAAATGGCACAGCAATGCACTGCGGTTGGCGTGTTCACGTGCGTTCCGGTAATTTATGATCAAATTGCTCTAATGGGACAATAATCCCTTTTTGGTCCCCAAAGGCAATCGGTTACTCTTTAGCGTCATTGTGCAATCTGACATCTCGGTGACTCCTGAGAAAACAGGAAACTTGATTTGAAATGAGAAGTTCTTTCCGTGTTAAATGTTACACTCTGAGTGTGACAAGACTGTAGCTCGCTATATACGGAGCTTAGGGTCACTGGAGGACGCTAGTTTATGTCCTCCCATGACCCTTAGGAGAACTATGAGGAAAAACACTGACCCCATAGTTCTCTTTTAAACTCATAACGTAACTCTTAAGGCCGGATGAAGGGGGGTATTGTATACCCCAAAACTTGTTGGATGTTTTATTCTATCTTTACAGATAATGGACTTTGTTCAACTCTATCACCAACAGTGGGGGCCCCTTTAATTCGTTATCATTTGAATGGGCTGCCAACGCATCTTGGTGGGCCAAAAATTGGAAATTTTCTCAAATGTAGCACACTACAACCCATGACTAATGCTCTACCTAGTGTTGTGGTGCGCTGCACCCCAATTTTCTTGGAGAGATGTTACCTTAGAGTGTTGGGTTGGCATTGAAAATGTATGGCGTCACAATGCACTAATGTCTGTATGTAACGTTGTGGTAACACACATGCTATGGTGATGGATGGGTCCAAATGGGATCCACGATTCACCCACACGTATGTAATTTGAGAGTAGGATTGGATATGAACTGAATGGATTGCTTAGCTAGGCCGCCTCATTACACAGTTGCAGTTGATGAGGTTGTAATATGTGTGTCCAGCTCGAACCTGCCCTCCAGATCTGTAAAATTTTGTAAATGTGTTTTTTTTCAATCTGTGCAGGTTGTGAGTCAGCGAGTCCAGCTGGGAATCTACCAGGACTCTTTCGATGACCAATATGTTGGATGTGCGGATAAAATGGAGTCCCTGGCACCAGATATACTCAAAGTGGATAGACAAGCTAACGAGGAGCTGGACGCGGCTTGGCTGGACGCCTCTGAAACATGGCCGACCAGGAAGACGTTGATCAAATCTCTTCCCGCTGGGTTCAAAGACGAGTACGGGATTGCCTTGTTAGTCTACACCAACATGACCATCCCGGTGTACAAACAGTTAAATCGGGCTGTACGGGAATATGGTACCAATCCGCCTTCCTTTGCATTCCACGCCTTACATTTTTACCTCACCAGAGCCCTGGCATTGCTCCGCGGTGGGTGTGGTGGGCAGCCTTGGCACACGTACCGGGGGGCGAGCAGGATCATGTTTGAGCCCCCTCCCAACCCTGGTGACCCCGTCCGGCTCAGCCAATTTGCCTCTTCATCTGCTGACATCAAACAGGCTCAGCAATTCGGCAACGCGTCCTTCTTCAACATCACCACCTGCTTTGGGGCAGACATACAGAACCTCTCCTACTTCCCGTCCCAGAAGGAAGTCCTGATCCCGGTGGATGAGGTCTTCCATGTAGCCCGTTATGTCGAGTGGGGCCACAAGTTTGACTTGCAGTCTTCCGGCAGGAGATGCAGCTTCTACAATTGCGCCTATCTGGGAGGTGAGTTAAAGGGGAGCTCAGGTCAGGATAAATCCGACCAGCAGGTTGAGATGAAGTTGGGTTTGGTTTTTGTTTTGGGATTTAGTGTAGTCACCAATGAGCCCCTTATTAGGAAGGGTTCTTTGGCCCTCCCATTCATCTATGGACCAAGCATGACAACTTATTCTTATGTATAACTAGATATGTAGTCAGGGCTATCTTTAATATTATTTGGGCCGTGGGCAAGATTTTGCTGATGGGCCCCCATAATCCCTGCCACCACAGGTACTCACACCACTCAGAATGGTCTTTGGCCAGCCCTTTACAATATAAGGAAGACATTCAAAATGTAAGTAGGGGAAAGTGATACATGAGGAGGTAGCTGTGTGGGGATGAATTGTTAGAGAGGGCCCTTCTGAACTTGCACGGTCTGCACAAAGGTTCTGCCTCTAACAAATTTCATTATAGCAGTCATTCAGCAAGGAAGTTCAATGTACTACCACTAGAGGGCACTGAAGAATCAGTATGTGAAATATAACCATAAAAACGTGACTCGACACTGGAACCGGTGTGATATTTTTCTAAAAGCAGCAGAAAATTCTAACTGGAGATAGAATAGAGGGTATACTACGGGTTATTCGGTGATGGATCCTTATCATTGGACCTTATCATTTTTTTCTGAGCATCAATGTAAAAAGATATTTCTTCTACTAGCAATGTCAGATGTTACTGAAAATCATTTATTGAAACAATGTGCATAGCCATAAGAAATGAACAAACCATTCTAAAGACCAATGTTGGTGGGTCATGTATTCCCATTCAAGTCTATGGAAATTGCAAAACCCACTTGAAGCAGGTCCACTGCAGGTCATAAAAAGGGCAGTTGCAGGTCAGAGGCTATGCTCACACCATGTCCGGGCCAGATCTGAAGCAGATCTGCAAATGCAGTGCAGTGCGTTTTTGCCACATTCTGTTTTTTTAGCTTAAAATGTGGTTTCAGGTGCAGTCCAGCGCATTTGCGTGCATTTTTTGATGCGTTTCCTTGCGTTCCGGTGCATTCCAGACCAGAGAAAATGAGACAAGCAGTGTTTTTTTGTCTGGACCGGAACGGACTACGTCGGTGTGAACAGAGCCCAGAAGTACCATAGGGATACATTGGGATGCTTTTCTGGTCCGGGAACAAACTGTTGTGGTTCGGGCATGGTGTGAGCAAGCCCAGAAAGCAGTCAACCACTGGTCATAAGGTGCTCAATTGCAGGTCAGAAGGTGGTCAGCTGCAGGTCAGAAGGTGGTCAGCTGCAAGTCAGAAGGTGGTCAATTGCAGGTCAGAAGGTGGTCAGCTGCAGGTCAGAAGGTGGTCAACTGCAGGTCAGAAGCTGGTCAGCTGCAGGTCAGAAGCTGGTCAATTGCTGGTCAGAAGGTGGTCAATTGCTGGTCAGAAGGTGGTCAATTGCTGGTCAGAAGGTGGTCAATTGCTGGTCAGAAGGTGGTCAAAAGGTGGCCAATTGTTTTTGAATCACTACATGAACAAGGACACCGCACCCCTAATATAGGTAAACAGCAAAAAAAGAGATAGATGGGGGCTTTTAAGGTGTCAAAAAATGCAATTAGGGATAATACACCATAGTGATGACAAAATGACATAGTAAAATAACATTTATTTGTTAAAAGATGACATGATCCACATGATAAAAATATACCCGCTAGTATCCATGATCAAACAGCATAAAACCTCCCTGGACTCTGTACATGTGCATGATACATGCATAATAAATACAATGAACTTATTTTCTCAAATACATTATAATAAATAATTTTATATAAATAGTCATAATCAAAGTGAGATATACTGCGAGTCTGTACTGCGTCCAGCCTTCTATGCATTCCGCCGAAGCTTCATCAGGAAGTCGGAGGTAACCTTTGGGATTCACATGACTATGCCAATCAGTATATTAATATTTTAAACATAATTGACAAACCAGTAACAAAATTTAACCAATTAAATACATACGTAAATCCCATAAGTGGAACAAGTATCAATCGTATAGTATAACATTGGGACGTAGCCAGGTGTGAGTGCATAAAATACATGCTAGGATCCAACCCAAATTATTCCAGCAAACTCTAGGGTAGTCAATAAGAGAAAAGACAATGTAAACGCAAGGAGACTATTAGGGTTGCACAGATACCAAGTACAGTACTCGGTACAAGTATGAGTACATGTGTATGAGTACATGTACCGATACTTTTGAGCTCCAAGACTAGACTAGAGAAAAATTCAGAAGTAAGGAGGCCGCTGTCACGTGTAAGGAGCACACGGAGCTCCCGGGATTTGTACATCTCTGGTTTAATGTACGATTTTGTTTTTATAAATATATATAAGGGATGCACAGATACCAGTTTTGCGAGTACGAGTACTGGTACCTGCCGAGTACTTACAAGTACGAGTACTGATACATTTTTGTTTAGTGTCATGTGACAGTTTTTCTAAAACAATACAGACTAATGATTTCAGGACAATGGTGGAGTGCCAGAGCCCGGTCCCAGCTGCAACCGCTGCAACCCTGGGAGTTCTCCTGAAAATGCCGAGTATCTGCACTGTTACTCAAAGTATCTGTGCATTCCTAGAGACTATAGATATCATATCCCCCATAGATATACTACCAATGGGCAACAGAGGCAATAATTTTCCGGATCATCATGTTCAGTTCCAAAAGCTCAGACTTGAACAATATTCATGTATTTTATGCACTCGCACCTGGCTGCGTCCCAATGTTATACTATACGACGGATACTTGTTTATAGATATCCTGAGGCAGAGATTGCGCTTCTCATATTTGATCGCCGTCGGTTCTCTCTCCACCCTCTCTGTTGTCCTTGACTGTTTCTGGGGATGACTCCCCCGACTGTGCGGATCCACTCACCACTAATGTCCCACTTATGGTATTTATGTATGTATTTAATTGGTTACATTTTGTTACTGGTTTGTCAATTATGTTTAAAATATTAATATACTGATTGGCATAGTCATGTGAATCCCAAAGGTTACCTCCGACTTCCTGATGAAGCTTCGGCGGAATGCATAGAAGGCTGGACGCAGTACAGACTCGCAGTATATCTCACTTTGATTATGACTAGGGTTGCACAGATACCAAGTACGAGTACAAGTACCGATACTTTTGAGCTCCAAGACTACACTAGAGAAAAATTCAAAAGTAAGGAGGCCGCTGTCACGTGTAAGGAGCACGCGGAGCTCCCGGGATTTGTACATCTCTGGTTTAATGTACGATTTAGTTTTTATAAATATAAATAAAGTGATGCACAGATACCAGTTTTGCGAGTACGAGTACTGGTACTTGCCGAGTACTTACAAGTACGAGTACTGATACATTTTTGTTTAGTGTCATGTGACAGTTTTTCTAAAACAATACAGACTAATGATTTCAGGACAGTGGTGGAGCGCCAGAGCCCGGTCCCAGCTGCAACCGCTGGTAGTTCTCATGAAAATGCCATATATCGGAACTGGTACTCGAAAAGCATCTGTGCATCCCTAATTATGACTATTAATATAACATTATTTATTATAATGTATTTGAGAAAATAAGTTCATTGTATTTATTATGCATGCATCATGCACATGTACAGAGTCCAGGGAGGTTTTATGCTGTTTGATCATGGAGACTAGCGAGTAGACATGTGCGATTCGTTTCGTTCCGAATTGAAATTCAGACGGATTTTCGGAAATTCGGACATTCGGATGTATCCGAATTCCCAATGACAGATGTAACGAATGCAAACGAATCCGAATTTCCGTTTCCGAAATTCGTTAGCGGTAGTTCGTTCGAACGTTCGTTTCGTTGTAGTTTCTTATTCGTTTCGTTCGTTGGAGCAAAGTGACATTAGAGAAGGAGAAAAACATTTTTCCCCCTCAAATGTCACTTTGCTGCGAACGAACGAAACGAATAAGAAACGAAAACGAATGTTCGAACGAACTACCGCTACCAAATTTTGTCCGAATCCGAATTGACTTTCACACCCGAAAAACGAAATAACACAAATCCGAATTTAAAACGAAACGAAACTAAACAAATTTTTTGGCAGTGCACATGTCTGCTAGCGGGTATATTTTTATCATGTGGCTCATGTCATCTTTTATAAATGTTATTTTACTATGTCATTTTGTCATCACTACGGTGTATTATCCCTAATTGCATTTTTTGACACCTTTAAAAGCCCCCATCTATCCCTTTTTTTTGCTGAATACCAGATGATATGAAGATTGCAGGAGGCATGAACAAGGGGGGTTAAATGTCAGCTTGAGCTACTGAGCTCTGCAAACAACTGACTTTTTACATCAGAGGCTGGAAAGTGTCAAAGGAAGCCGTGAGCGCCACCTGCTGGCTGCACATGAGAATCATTTGACTGACTGAAAATAAAATATTCTTTGAAATAATATTTTTACTTAAGAAATAAATATCTATGAATGTTTTTTAATATATAAAAAATACACTTTGAAGATCATTGTAATTTTTTTTCACTTGTTTTGTCTTTTCCAGGCAGGAAACGTCAGAACTGTACGTACAGTTCAGGTAAGGACTTCTTCAGGATCAGGGACGGGCTGTGCACATGGCGTGTCATAGATGAGGGAGCTGGAGGCAATGTGGAACATGATTTTGGGGTGCGTGAGATGGCAGAAGTGGGAGGTCCTTGTTTTTTTTTGCTCGGCACATAATGGCTCCTCCCCCCCCGGCTGCGCACGTCTTGTAGTATTGGATGAGTCAGTGGGAGGAGCCATTGCATCTCGAGGGTAGTGTGGAATCCCTGCAGTAGTATCCTAGGAGTTGGTACACCAGGAAGGAGTGCCGGGGGTGGGGCAGTTACCGAGCATCTCAGGAAGGTGTACTGGTGAGCCAGAGGAAGCCACATCAATATAGAGACCGTACATAAATATGGAGGACGTGTATAAATATAGAGACCGTACATAAATGTGGAGGACGTGTATAAATATAGAGGCCGTACATAAATATGAAGGACGTGTATAAATATAGAGGCCGTACATAATGGTGGAGGACGTGTATAAATATAGAGGCCATACATAATGGTGGAGGACGTGTATAAATATAGAGGCCGTACATAATGGTGGAGGACGTGTATAAATATAGAGGCCTTACATAACGGTGGAGGACGTATATAAATATAGAGACCGTATATAAATGTGGAGGACGTGTATAAATATAGAGACCGTGTATAAATGTGGAGGACGTGTATAAATATAGAGGCCATACATAAATGTGGAGGACGTGTATAAATATAGAGGCCATACATAATGGTGGAGGACGTGTATAAATATAGAGGCCGTACATAAATGTGGAGGACGTGTATAAATATAGAGGCCATACATAATGGTGGAGGACGTGTATAAATATAGAGGCCGTACATAATGGTGGAGGACGTGTATAAATATAGAGGCCGTACATAATGGTGGAGGACGTGTATAAATATAGAGGCCGTACATAAATGTGGAGGACGTGTATAAATATAGAGGCCATACATAATGGTGGAGGACGTGTATAAATATAGAGGCCGTACATAATGGTGGAGGACGTGTATAAATATAGAGGCCGTACATAATGGTGGAGGACGTGTATAAATATAGAGGCCTTACATAACGGTGGAGGACGTATATAAATATAGAGACCGTATATAAATGTGGAGGACGTGTATAAATATAGAGACCGTGTATAAATGTGGAGGACGTGTATAAATATAGAGGCCATACATAACAGTTGAGGACGTGTATAAATATAGAGACCGTACATAATGGTGGAGGACGTGTATACATATAGAGGCCGTACATAATGGTGGAGGACGTGTATAAATATAGAGACCGTACATAATGGTGGAGGACGTGTATAAATATAGAGACCGTACATAATGGTGGAGGACGTGTATAAATATAGAGACCGT